GGAGGACCTTGAGTTCAAAGCCAGCCTCAGCCACTCAGCAGGGCCCTAAACAATTCAGTGAGACCCTGTCTCAAAATATAAAAAAGTGTTGGGGATATTGCTCAGTGGTTAACCACCCTGGATTCCATCCCTGGTAACCCCACCCCTTAAAAACATCAGTGCAAAGTCATTTTTTATTCATGACCTACTTCTGAAATGCACACTTATCCCTTGAACTTGGTCCTTTGATTCCATTTTTTGGAAATATTTATGTTTAGTTTTAGTGGAGACAGTATCTTTATTTTTATGTAGTGCTGAGAGTCAAACCCAGTGCCTTGGGCATGCCAGGGGAGTACTCTACCACTAAGCCACAACTCCATATAGCTCAGTTGGTAGAGTGCTTGTCTTGCATGCACAAGACCCTGGGTTAAATCCCCAGCATCACCACAAAAATAAATAAATAAATAAATTAATTAATTAAAAGGAAAGCTTTGATTTCATTTTTAAGCAGACGAAAAGCATCTGCAGAAGCAGACTCCACACTGAGCTGGAACCTACTTCATTTTTTCCCCACTGCATGTTTCAAACCTAGATAATCACCCTTAGCAATAGCCGCTTCATTATCCTGCTAAATCACATGCTCCTCACGAAGAACAGAGGAAAAATGTGGCCTAGCCCACCCACAAGGGGGCCTGAATCTCCCTGGGGACTCCCTTTCCTGATTTCTCAAGGAGAGAATTTGATGGAAGGAAAAGTTGATGGTGAGGTTGGTGGGGGAATCAGATCCTCTGTCCAGGGACCCTTAAAAGTACCTGTGGCCTTCTCCCCCTTTCCGAGAAATCACAGATTTAGGCAGAGCATCTGTAAGCACTTATTAAATAATTAATAAATAAGTTAGTAAACAAAGGGAAGGAATTTTTTTCTTATTGATTTATATATATATGAATGACAGCGGAATGCATTACAATTCATATCACACATATAGAGCACATTTTTTCATATCTCTGCTTGTATTAAAGTATATTCACACCAATTTGTGTCTTCATACATGTGCTTTGGATAATGATGTTCACCACATTCCACCATCATTTCTAACCCCTACCCCCTCGTTTCCCCTCCCACCCCTCTGCCCTGTTCCTCTATTCCTCCCGTGCTCCCCCTCCCTACCCGACTATGACTCAGTCTCATAGGGAAGGAATTTCATTGCAGATGCCTCTAATATTCCTTCCCCATGCCCATGGCAGACATCAATAATTGATTGCAGGGCTGGGGTTGTGGATCAGCGGTAGAGCGCTGAAAGGGTAAAGTTTCTAAGCTGCAAAGCCTGAGTTAAAATGTAAAGGTCCAGGCATTGTAAACCTGCTTCAAACTGCAAAGCATGGGTTAAATTCCCGAGGCAGTTAAGACAATGCCCTACTGGCCATTTAGTTGATTTATGGCCTAAGATCCTGTGCAGTCCAGCACGTACACACCTCAGGGCCTAAACCAATCAGTTTAAATGTAACCCCCACCTTAAGAATGACCTATCACTCCAGCCAGCCCTGTTCCCACCAATGTATGTACTAATCAAGTCTAAGAATTGTTGTTTAACTTTCCCGCGGTGTATGGTGATTTGTTAAAGGAGACTGTGATGTATGTAAAGTCCCTGCCCTCCCCAAAAAAAGTGTACTTAAGCATTGTTCAACCCCGGCTCTGGGCTCTGGGCTGTTTTCCCTTCCTGAGTGAGCCTAGAGCCTCAGCGCGCTGAATTGGATCCTCAATAAAAATCCCTGTCTGCTTATTGCATGAAGCCAGTCTCTTGTGGTCTCTTCCTCCAACGTTTTGCGGGTCCCTTACAGCGCTTGCCTAGCATGTGTGAGGGCCTGGGTTGGCTCCTTAGCACCACATATAAATAAATAAAATGAACGTATTATGTCCAACTACAACTAAAAAATAAATTTAAAAAAAATAGATTGCAGAATCCAGATGAATCCCTCTAGGCCCAGAAGCAAATGGATATTTTTGTTCTTCTCTTTCTCCTTCCTCTCCTTCTTTCTTCCCGGCCTTCTAAACAGAGTACCCTGAGCAACTGCTGCCACTACCCCCCTCTGTACCTGGGCATCAGGGATAGATTTTTGCTGTTCAGTCCCTTTTCTATGGATTTGATTTCAGATAACAGTGGTTTTGCATGGACACACAAGAAGCCTGCAGATTGAAGGGTAGATCTGTTTCTCTTTGGCTCAAGAGCAAGCAGAGGGCAAGTCTTCACCAACCACACAAGGAATACCTTAGTAAGCGCTCTTCTCCTGTTCCTGGTTCCACACGGCCCTCCCTTAAGTCCTTCCCTCCCTCCTTCCTGCCTCTGTTCTGGACACACCAAACTCACCCGGCCTCTGGACCTTTGCATGTGCTGGACTGCTCTGCCCTGGTTTTGTGCAGCCCCCGCCCTGCTGCCTCCGGTCCTGGTTTCAACCTCTCTGTGATGGGGAAGGAGGTGGGTGGATCATGTCCCTCTTAAGAGAGGACCTCTGCCCAGCCCGGGGAGTGCAGACTTGATGTCAGTTCAAATCAGGTGTCCTCAGCTTCTAAGTGACCCCCCGCATCCAGGGACATGCCTTTCCCTGGGCAGTCCATAGCCTGGCTGAGGCCAGGGGTGAAGACGTGGCAGAGCTGTGTCCAGAGCTCCCGTGGCTCCCCCGAGCTGAGGACCTGCAGGAAGCTCAGCTGTCCACCTCGAGCACCTGCCCTTCCCTTCCCAGTACTGATCCCCAGGAGACCCCTAAGGGAGCTTCAGCTGACCCACCCTCAGTCAGAGAGAGAGAGCCCCGGAAACCATCTAGAAACACCTCGTCTCCAAGACGTGACCTTCTGGCCATGCTGAGCCACTCTTTCCCTTCCCCAAACTCTCCTTATATCTGATCCCCCCATCTTCCTGGAAGGGTTCATCCGGGCACGAGCTTCTCTTAAGTGATTTAATTTTTTCTTTTCCCCACAAACTGGAATGTCACTCCCCAAGAAAGCAAAGCTCTTGTCCTCGGGTCTTTCCGGGACCTAAGAATAATGCAGGCTAACTGCTTGAATCTGAGCTGTCCAGTGACTAGCCACTAGCCACGGGGGCTACTTAGATTAAAATTAATAAGGTCAATTATTTATTAATGAAATTGCATTTACTTAATAAAATAAATCTGAAGTGAAACTCAGTTCTTCAGTCTCATGCCCCACACTTAATCCTCAGTGTCCACACATGGCTAGTGGCCACCATGACGGACGGGGCAGGTCTGGAGCATGGCCATCATGGCAGAAGCCCCTGTTGCACTGCACACCTCTAGGGTATAAGCCCCTGGGGTCAAAGCCCTGTCATTGTTCCGATCCTATCACCAGGGACAATGTGGCCACAGAGGGACTCAGCAAACCTTTCTAGAACAGGCGAGAGGTGAGTGGATGTATCAATGGAAGTCGGAGGAGCTGAGGAAGGAGGTGAGCAGGGTCCTGTCACTCCAGATCCTTACAGCGGTCTCCAGGGCCACCCTTGCATGACTTAACCCTGACACTCTGACCCCTTCCTGCCCACCCCTGCGGTCACCCTCGTCTCCTTGCTGTTCCTCGACACTCCAGTGTGTTCCCACCTCGGGCCTTTGCCTGTGCCACACGCTGTGTCTTCAACACTCTTCCCTCAGACATGTCCCTTATGCTCAGCGAATGCCTCAAGGTCCCCAAAGAAAATGGTGTCCCTCTGGGAAGGGACACAGCTCCTCTGCGTGGCCATTTCCTCCCATCATGAGGCGAGCTCCGGGGGGTGGCAATGTGTCTGGTTTATCCACGGCTCTAGCCACCAGCCTGGATGGGCAGCCTGCACACAGCAAGCACTGACGACACTGCTGTCCAAGTGAAGGACAGGGGGAAGGAAAGGAGGAGGGTGGGCAGGGGAAGGACGGTGAGAGGTGAAGGCTTCACAGTCACGTGGCCCAGGAGGGTGAGCAGGGCACAGGTAAGGGGCAGGGAGCAGCACCCGCCTCTGCTTTCTCCTTAATGGGGCCAGTGGAGGCCTGTGAACAGCCCATTCTATGCATCTGCTCAACAGACCACAAAGAGAGAAAATCCTGGAGGTGACATTTTATTTTGAGGACCTCTGTGCTGCTGAGGCGTGCTGTCCCCGGGGGAGGTGAAGGAACCACATTCTCAGTGTCACAGACAGATGGATGTTGGGTTTGCAGGACGGAGCACAACTCCCACCCACCAGGGAGATTCTCCGGAAGCAGCCTGGGCCAAACGGCGTGGAGGCTGGGGGCTTCTAGGGATGGCTTTGCAGTCACCTGCTGAGCTGGGGATTTTGGGGATCCTCTCTCTCTCTCTCTCTCGATATTTGGTGGGGGATTAATTCCCCAGGGATCAGCTTGCCTAAACCCGATAATCCCGATTTGTGATTTAATTCAGTTCCCCTGAGTATCTTACACCAGGAGAGGGACGCGGGCGATCAGAGGGGAAAACACAGGCTGGGCGTCCAGGAAATCAGGAATTCACCCCCCATGGCTCCTCACGGGTGGCGCCCACGCCCAGCCTCATCTAGGAGCAGTTTCTAGCCCCGTGATGGGGTTGGCGCGTCTCCCTCTCACAGAACCAGGGTGTCTGGGATTGAAATCGGAAGGGTGGGAGGGAGGGGAGGGTGGACGGGGTGGGACTTTGTGACAATCTATCAGGAGAGAAGACTATTAGCTGGGGAAGAGATTTTGGCAGGTCGCAGGGGTTTAGGACTATGTGTAAGAAAAAGATGTCATTAACCTCTGGAATTTCTGGAATGGCAACTGGATCTTAGTCCCACTCCCATTTCCACACCTCCTGAATCTCATTCCTTAGGCACCCCACTCCATCCCCATCTGGCAAAGCTGCTGCCTTCAGTCTAACCTCAATCCATGCAGCTGCAAAGCCATTGACTACCCTCCTTCCCCCCACTCCATCCTTCAAGGGATCATGGGGATTGGGTCCTCAGCAAGCAAGGGATCCATGTTGACCAGGTGGGGAGCATCTGGGCCCCCAGGACATCCTCAGCGAGACATCATCTTCACAAACTCTGCAAAAAAAAAGCCCCGGTGAGGTGCCTCATTATAAAAACCACGGTAGTTTTTTGAGTTTCCTATGTTGACCTTGGAGAAATTACCTAATCCTCTACCCTCTGTATTTTCATCTCTAAGACGGGAGTCGGGAGTCGTAGGCTCACTCTTTCCCCTCTGTTTTTAAGATGTTTAAATGACACAAGGCTTGTGGGACACAGTGTTCCATGAATGGCCATTGTTAGGGTCTGATGTCACCCTCTCCACCGTCTCAGGGGGATTCCTCTTCACAGGTCAGGAGTCTGGGCCATGAAGGTAGCCCCTGAGCCTGAGTCAGCTGGACAGTGACTGGTGAACCCTGGACAGGACACCCTTTGTACCTGACCTTGCTATGACTCTACACCAGAACTTGCCAGCCCTGCCCTGCTTTGAGGTCCCCTGTCCTCTGGCCTGGGGTTGGCCTGCAGATCTGCTTCCCACCCTTGCCCTCCACCTGTCCAGGAAGGCCACACGGGGAGCGGGAAAAGGATCCCTGCCGAGCCCACCCCTGTACGTCACCTTCAAAGTCAACGGTGCCATCTCCATTGACATCGGCCTCGTGGACAACCTCGGAGATCTCCCGGGGGGTGAGCCTCTCTCCCAGAAGCCTCTGCATGGCCTGCTGCAGCTCCGCCAGTGTGATCTCCCCGTCTCCATTGGTGTCGAACTGATGAACAGAAGCAGAGGGGGCTGGCTGAGCAGCACCGACCTTGAGAGCAACGGTGACAGGGTGACAGTGTCCATGGATCACTAGAGCCAGGCCAAGGGCTTCAGGCACATCTTACTGGAGAATATCAGCACCTGGAGGTCAAGGGTTCCTCCCAGGTTTGCACACATCTCTCCCTCTGTTTAGACAGCATTATTGGGATATAATTGATGTGCAGATAGCTAAGCAGGCTTAACCCGTGCCCTCTGATGAGTTGGACAGAGGAATGCCCTCATGAAACCACATTAATCAGCACAGTATGTGTCACCTTGCCTCCAAGACATTCCCTGTCCCCTTAGGTTTCTGTTTGTTGGATGCGGAACATGAGATCTGCTCTTTTAAGTTTTTGATGCCCAATACAGACCGTTAGTCTGTAGGTGAGTGGAACTCAGTCATCTCCATAACTGAAACTTTGAGACCCATGAAAGGACAGCCCACCTGCCCCTCTGCCCAGGTCCTGGCAGCCAGCTTGCTTCAGTCTGTGCCTATGAGTTTTTTTGGAGGCCTTCTGTACATGGACTCCTGTGCACCTCTCCTGTGTGCTGCAGACCTACGGTGGAATGTGGTTCTGCCTTAAGAAGGAAATCCTGAAATGCAGTATCGTGGATGAACCCAGAGGACGTCATGCTGGTGAAATAGTCCAGGCACACAAGGACAAGCATTTTCACAGGCCAGGCCCTTGATACATGTTTCCCAATTAATCAGAGACCTCCAGAACTTCTCCCTGCTCCTTAACCACCTCCCAGAAAGCCTGCTATGCCCTCTCCTCAGCGCACACAGAGGGGCCAGGGATGGTCCTCAGCTCGGCTGACCTGGCTCCAACCACGGCCCCTCTGGCCTGCACTCCCCAGGCAGCCTGCAGGGGTCCCTGGCTGCCGTCTTGCTCCTGCCAGGGTCTCCCCTCTGCATGTCAGGCTCCGTGTTCACAGTCACATAGGGGACAAGTCAGATCCTGTCACTCCCCCTGGTGGCTTCCTGTCCAGTCCATGACATGTGGATGGGCCCTGCCCTCCACAACTCTGAGGTCTCCACCACATCCGTCCCCTGCTATGTTCTTTCCAGCTCCCTGTCACCCTTTGTCACCCTTCCTCAGACACAGCGTCCTGCCTCCTGGTGTGTGTAGTGTCCTCTCCTGGGATGGGACTTTCCTGGAGCAGTTCTGTCCAGGGGGAAGTGCATCAGGAGCCTCTCAGGGATTCTAAGTTTCCTAGTAGCTACATTAAAGAAAAAGTGAAGGGCTGGGGGGCAGCTCATGGTGGAGGCCTAGCGAGCAGGAGGCCCTGGCCCATGTCAAGTGTCATCCCCTTCCCTATCCATCCCACTAGGGCTGGGCCAAAACGAGGAGGGCAGGGGGTGGCCCTCTGGTGGGCTCTGTCCATGGTGCTGACGTGAACAGTCCCTAGATCACCCCCAGCACCATGGACCCCTTCACTGACCTCCTTGAAGGCGTCTCGCATCTCCTGGACACCAATCATCCCAGCCGTTTCTGCAAGCAACTTGGGGGTCATCAGCTCCACGAAGTCATCAAAGTCCACACGCCCCCCCACTGAGGCAGAAAGGGAGGGGTTAGTGGGACTCCACACCCTGACCTTCCAATCCCTCGCTTCTCCCTTCCAGTCAGTTCCAGAAAGAGAGCGGCTCCCAGGTCCCCGCCATGCACGGGTTTCCTGTTCTGCACTTTTATTAGTGCATGGCAGCCTCACACACTAGCGGGTTAGTTTCGACATGCTCATGCCTGGACTGTAGTTTGCTCCTTTTCGGTCCCCAGTGCTTCCTCTCTACCTCCCCTCCTCCCTCCTCCGGGTCCCTTCCTCTCCTGGATCCTTCTGCTTATTGACTTTTAGGTGGGTGCTCTATGGGTGCACATAAAGGTGGAGCTCAGAGTGGGATGTGCACATACGCATCATCTGGTCATTTCATTCCTCGGTTCTTCCCTGTTCCTGTCCCTCTTCCCTCCCTCAACCCCCTACCCCACTGATGTCCCCTCTGTTTCATGGGATCCCCTCCCCACACATTCCCCTGTGAGAGAACACGTTCTCCCCTGGCCTTCCGAGTCTGGCTTATGTCACTGAGCGCGGTGTTCCCCAGTTCATCCATTTACCAGCAGATGCTTGAGTCTCATTCTTCTTTATGGCTGGGTGAACCCCCCTTATCTTTCACTCACTCAGCTCAAGCCCTGTGTCCCTCTAACCTGAACCTGGTGGACAAGGCACGTATGGGGACGTGACTGACTGCACAACCTTGAGCATGGTCAGGACCCCTGTTCCCTCGTCTGTGGATCTGTAAAGAGGGAGTGTGAGTTACATGTGCACCTGAGGCTTTTCCAGATACGAATACAGTCATGCCTTGGCATCCACTGGGGGAGTGGTTCCAGGAACCCCCATGGATACCAAAATCTGCAGATGGTCAAGTCCCATCTCCAAAACGTCAAGGTATTTGCATGTAACCTACGCAAACCTCTCATATGCTGTACCTCATCTCTAAGCTCCGAGCTGTTCACTGAGAGCCCCCGATCCTCAGGGTTGGTGGAGAGTCCTCAGAACCCCAGGAGAAGGACCAACAGCTTTGGCTCCTGTCTCACTCCCAGGTTTCTGAGACGTGGGCGGGGCATGTCTCAGAGGCCCCGACACAGTGGAAATGCTCTCTGAGTTTATGCTGTGTTGTTCAGGGCACAATGACAAGAAAAAAAAAATAGCCTGAACATGTTTAGTACATACACAATTATTTCCCAAATGTTTTCCATCTGCACTTGCTTGAATCTGCAGATACACAGAGGGCTGAGCACACCATTATCACCTTGAATTCCACCTCAACTCAGTTACATGCCCAGAAGCAAACCAGTAGCAATTTTCTTCAGTTTCAGTCTCAAAGTCACCTCTGGTCTCCATTTAAAAATCGATCCTTTTCAACTCGGGAAGCTGAGGCAGGAGGATGGGTGAGCTCAAAGCCAGCCTCAGCAAAAGCGAGGCACTAAGCAACTCAGTGAGACCCTGTCTCTCAATAAAATACAAAATAGGGCTGGGGATGTGCTCAGTGGTTGAGGGCCCCCGAGTTCACCACCATTAGGTGCAAGTGCAAGCTCATTGCTGACATCCAGCATGGCTCCAACCTCACACTCCTCGGATAGACCTTTAGTGGTGACAGTGATAAACTACACTTAATCAGAATTTGTGGGGACTACAACTTGGCCTGCCTGTCCCTCCACCCTCCTTCCCATGGCACCATGAGGTAAGGAGTGTCCTGCCTTCACTCAGAGACCAGGGACCTGAGACCCAAGATAACTTCACTTTTCAGAGTGACTTTCATTGACAAATAAGAGAACTGGGACTTGCACCCAGACCTGTCTCCCCAAGGCCCCTCCAACTACTTCAAAAGCCGCCTCCCTGGAGCAGTCTGGACTGCGCTTTTCTACACCCCAATCCTCGTAGCCCCCTGTATCCCCACAGACTCCCCCTCCCCCTGCTCCCCAGTCTCTCCCTGAGCACCGCCCAGCCCAGCCCTGCCTTCCTCCCCCCGGGTCTCACAGTTCATGCGGACTTGCTGGCCCAGTTCGGTCAATTCCATCTCCGTGGGCATGTAACCCATTGTCCTCATGAGATTCCCCAAATCCTTATGGGAGATAAACCCATCTCGGTCCTTGTCAAACTCAAGGAATGCTTCCCGGAGCTCTGAAAGTGAAGAGAGAAGAACTTTGGAGGAACTTGAAACAGCCGGGGGGAAGAGTGGCATCCTTGAAACTGCTGCTGAGGCAGTGACAGAGACTCGAAGGGGAATACACCATAAAACCCAGCACTGCAGAACAGCAGTGAGTGGGAAAGGCGCCCGCAGGGGGAACGGCTCCGAGCTGCTCACTGAGCCCCCAATCCTCAGGGTCGGTGGAGAGCCCTCAGAACCCCAGGAGAAGGACCCACAGCTTTGGCCTCATTTTAAGGCTCCCGTCTCCTCTCATCCCGGGTTTCTGAGACGTGGGCCGGGCATGTCGCTAAGGACTCCCAGGCACTTAGCTGCCCTGAGGAGGTCTCAGTGTGCAGTGGAGGGGACAGGAAGGGGTGTGAGGTGTGCATGGGAGGAGGTGACACAGACACAGCTGACAGCAGGTCCCTGGGGGGCGTGGAGGGCATTTGGGGGGCAGATGTTACCTTCGATCTCGTCCTGCCCCAGGGGTCGCTCCTGGAGGGAATGCAGGGAGGGAAGGTGGAGAGACAGTCAGGGTCCCGCGCTCCTCAAGCAGGCCCGTCCTCCACGCCCCTGTTCCCTTCCCCTCTCCTCCTCCCTCCCCAACTCCCATTCCTCAGCTTCTGCTCTACTTCCTCCCCATCCCCTCTCACTCCTCTTTCCTGTACTTGAACCTGGATCTGCTCTTTCCCAGACACACATTCCATTGTACGTGGAGTCCGAGCCTCCCCAGATGGACAGGGTGGGATTTGCTGTCCCAGCCCAGGTGTCAGAGGCTGGCTCTGCTGGGGCTCCTGGCATTTGAACCTCAGGATGACTCTGGGAGGGAGACCAGGTATCATTCCCATCTTACCCATGAAGACTCTCAAGAACAGGGAGGTCAAGGAAGCTGCTGAAGGTCACACAGCTCTGAAACAGCAGGTCCCCGACCAAGGGAGGGGAAGTTACCCTTGAGGTCGTGTGGCAACTAGAGTCGAGCACCAGGGCTCGAGTCCAGGGCTCCCGACTCCAGGTCAGAAGTCTTCCCAGGGCACCCCACTGCTGTCCCCACCTGCCTCCCCTTCCTCCCAAGAGGGAGAGTCCCTTGGGGTGGGACCAGACCTCAGTGGCGTTCAGGAGGGCCACTGAGTGCCAGCAGGACCGGTGCCTGCACCTCTGCGAGCATCTGCCCTTCACTGCCCGACCCGCTGCTGGACATGGCCTGGACACCTGCAGAGAGCCTAGAGGCTCCACCAGCCTGGCCTCCACCCTCTAGCTCCCTGGCCGTCCCCCAGTGTCTCTCTTGCTGTCCTCTGTGCAGTCTCATCTCTGTCCGCCCTGTCCTTCCTTCCCTTCCTGACAGTCCCAAGCACAGGAATGGACCCGCCTGCCCTGCCACTTCCTCCCTGGGAGCTTATGGCGAAGGACTCGTGTCTCAGCACCTCGGTTTCTTCACCTGTAACACGGGAGTGAGTCTCGGGGACCTCGGAGTTGTTCTGGGAGTTAAATGACACCAGGAATGTGCAGACCTTTGCACAGAGCTGACCACACAGCAGGGACTTGGTAAGTGTCCAAAATTGCCATTGTCACCATCACTGGCCTCTTGTGTCCAGAGCAGAGAAAGGGACACCATCCCAGCCCCCGTTTATTCTCCTCACAAAGCCCCCTCCTGAGTTTACTGTCCCCCTTCATCCTGTGGCCCCTGGGAATCCAGAGCCCCCTCCTGTGTTCTGAGCTTCCTGGTTCCTGCCGCTCACCTGCCCCTTCTCCCCCTGCCCCACACCTCCCTGCCCGCCCTGCCAGTCGCCCTGCCTCACCCGCTGCTTCTCAGCGATGCCCTTCCTCAGGAAGATGCAGGCGGGGCCCACGGGGAACTGCATGGGGCAGGTGTGCTCTCAGGTTTGTCCCTCTGGGTGGCCCTGTGCCTGTCCCTGGCAGCCCAGCCTCCTGCTCAGTCCTGTGCCAGCTCTGCTGCCTGTTTGGGCCTCTCCTGCGAGCCTGAGTCTCAGAGCTGTGAAGGCTGGGGGACCTCGCCCAGGCTGGGAGGGATCAGGGCTGCCTCCCCATCTGGCTGCAGGGAGTCAGGGGCAGGGCCACCTCAGGCTGTGACTCAGCCCAGGATGGCACTGGAGAGCATTTGAAAGTAGGGATTAGGGCAGGCGCCTGTCCATTCACTGTATCCACCTGCATCGCCTGTGCCCACTCTAAGCCTGGCCTCTGGACCGTGTCACATGCAGAGGACAGGGTCTGGCCCCAGAGCTCTCCTGACCAAGTCAGGCCCGTGTGCAGGGACGGCCTGGTGACAGGGGGAACAGTGGTGGAAAGGGCAGTCTGGGCTCTCCCCTGTGCCTCTGGTCCCCCCTGCTCTTCCTGAGTAATTCAGTGGCAGCAGGGAGGGGGCCAGGGCGTGAGAAGTCATGGTGGGCTCAGGGCCAGGGGTGGTGAGGGGTCCACACAGGGAGGGTAGGGGACATCTGCTGTGGGGGCAGAGTCCCCTGGGGAGTGGGGCACAGAGGCAAGTGCTCATAGAAGGTGGGTATGGCCAGAGGCTGTGAGGGTTCCGATGTGACCATGATGCCATCCCCTATGACATGCAGTCACGGTGCCAAATGAGCCACCCCAGTGCCAATCCCATGAGAATGGCCAAAAGCAGAGAGATCTGCTCTCATCACCCAGGTCAGAAATTCTGTTAGCTTGAACCAAAGTGCTCCAAAAACAAGTGGTCAGACTTAGTTACAGTCCAGATGTTCTCCTTTAGAGCCAGCATCGCTGCTTATGGATTCTGTCCAGGATGGTTTGGGAGAGAAGGGCAACAGGACACACCTTCCAGACAAGTGGAGTGTACTAGAGGTGGATCTGGAGAATGTCCAGTAAGTTCTCCCTGATTGCCCTGTACCTGGCAGCTCAATGGGGCTGTTACTGCAGTGAGCGTCCCCGTCCCCTTTGGGGATTTAGCCCTCCCCTGTGGAATCATTCATGTCAGTCTTCAGGTCCTTCCAAGAAATTAGCTTCCTCGTTCATTCGATTTCTCTGGTTGACTTTTCTTTTCTTCTTCCGAGGTTTCTTCCTTTTGAGGGAAGGCTTCTCTGGGTCGATCTTCAGTCGTTTGAATCTTAGTTCTGTGTCCTCCGTGCCTGATGGTGCGTTCAGGTACCCAAATAGGACAAAAAGCACCTTCTGGAAAAATCCAAGCATGACCTCTGCCCCACATAATCACTGTGTCTGGTCCTTTCCATTGACCAGTCTGTAAGTCCTTCCACCAAACTTGGCCTAAAGGGCCTGTTGCTGTGGAAGACGTGTCGCTCGGCTGCAGTGTGACCTTCCGAGTCACAATTTAAAAAATTTAAAATAAACAGCATGATTGAGGTGATTTGGGGGAGTCCTAGTCCTATCTCCCCCCTTTTAGTTTTTGTAATTATAGCTTAATAGATAAATAAGCTCGTTCCACAATGGTTTGACCTTGGGGGTTATAAGGAATTCCTGTTTTATGGTCAATACGAAACTCTTGGCAAAATTGTTGAAAAGAAGAGCTAACAGGCCAGTGCATTAACAGTTTTAATATGTAAAGGACATCCTAATACTGCAAAGGCAGCTAGGCAATGAGAAATAACATGCTGAGCATCTTCTTTTAGCAAAGATAAACCTAGAATAAGTATCTACAATTACATGTACATAACATTGCTTACCGAATTGAGGAATGTGAGTTACATCCATTTGCTATAATTGATTTGGTTTTAATCCACGGGGATTTTCCCCGATGGTAAAGATGCAGTGTGTCTAACACATGGGGGGCAGTGACATTCAATTTGACAAGCTTGCTCTCTAGTAATATTAAATTTTTTATGTAAGCTAGAAGCATTTTGATGATGTAAAGAATGCAAAGCTTGTGCACAGTCATGCAAACACATTTGTTGAAAAACAGCATCTGTGACCATGATGCCATCCACTCTGATATGCAGTCAAGGTGTCAAATGAGCCGCCCCAGTGCCAATCCCATGAGAAAGGCCAAAAGCAGAGAGACCAGTTGTGACCTGCTCTCATCATTTATCAATCTTATCATTACCTGATGTCAGAGGCCCTGGAAGATGAGTGTGGGCCCGTATGTGGCCTATAAAACATGGGTGCTTTCACATTTGCACTGTCCTTTGTAGGATATGAAGCAAACTGAATAACTCTTGTGATGACGTATATCCAATAACTGAAGTTTCAATATTTTTTGTAACTCCAACTGCATATAAGCTATCAGAATAAATATCAATAGGCTCATTTGTAAAATAGCATAAAGCACAAATGAGAGCTTGAAGTTCTGCATTGGGCAGAAGCATATGAGGTTTGCATTACCTCTGTATGAGCATGACTATTAAAAACCTGCTGTACCTGAGCTTGAGCCATCAGTGAATACCGTTAGTGCGCCATCTATTGGTTGTGCACGTACAATCCTTGGGAAAATATGAATGGTGTTATTAATGCAAATTGAATAATTTTATCATGAGGATAATGACTTTCTATCTGATCAGGAAAATCAGCAAAAGCTGCTTGTCATAAATTAGAAGTTTGAAAGAGCCAGTAATTCTGTTGAGCAGAAAATGGAATGATTATAATATTAGGTTCTGATACAACTAGTTGTAAAACTCTTGTTCTGCCCTTTATCATTAATTGAGCAACAAAATCATGATAAGGAGTTAATGACTTTTGAGGAGAGTGGGCTAAATGAATCCACTCAATAACTCCCAATGTTTGCCATATCGCCCCTGTAAGAGCGTGAGCAATTGCAAATATCAATAAATGTATAGGCTCTTGTGGGTTAATTCTAGTAAGTTGAGCATTTTTAATAGCAATTTCAACTTTCCTCAAAGCTGTTCTTGCTTCTGCTGTGAGCTGATGAGAAGAAGTTGGAGAAGGATCTCCCTGTAATATCTGGAATAAAGGACTCAAATCTGAAGTAGTTAGCTTTAAAGATGGCCTCAGCCAATTACTATCTCCTAATAATTTTTGAAAGTCACTAAGGTTGTGCAGCTCCTTGACTCTTGTAAATTTTGAAGATGGATTGTGTGTTCTTCAATGACCTAGATACTGAAAAGGAGATGTCTTTTACACCTTGTGAGGTGCAATGCACAAAACTAATGCACTCATTGCTGTGAGCGAAGTCTCTAATTGAGCAAAAAATTTAAGAGTACATCAGAATTAGCATGAGCTAAAAGTATGTCATCCATAAAATGAATAATATATGCATCAGGGAATTTTTCCCTCACAGGCGTGATAACCTGTGCCACAAATTCTGACACAGGGTAGGACTGTTATGCATTCCCTGAGGCAGCACTTTCCAGCAATGTCTTTTGACTAGTTCTTTAAAATTAATGGCTGGGACACTAGAGGCAAACCTTTTCCAGTCATCTGGGTGCAAAGGTATAGAGAAAAAACATCCTTTTAGATCTACTACTATCAAATTATAATTTAAAGTCACAGCTGTAGGAGAACGAAGCCCAGATTGTAATGTTCCCATAGGTTCTATAACACGGTTAATAGCTCTAAGGTCTTGTGATAATCTCTAATTACCAGATTTTTTCTTAATTATAAAGATGGGTGTGTTCCAAGGGCTGAGCATAGTCTCTAAATGACCAGCTTGAAGCTGTTCCTCAACTAACATGTGGGTTATTTTAAGTTTTTCCCCTGTTAGGGGCCACTGACTAACCCAGATTGGCTCTTCTGTGAGCCAAATGATCTTTTCTGCTGTCTTTTGGGTTGGGGAAAAGGTCAGTTCCCCTACCAAAAATTTTGGCTGGGTGCATTAATTAATCTCTGTCGAGGAGACTGGGTCATAAGTAGGTACTCATCCTGTAAATTTTTCTCAATTTCCCTAGGAGTAGATTCTTGATTAAGTTCCTCGAATGACCTGATAGAATTTGGAGTTACTCATAATAATCCTAAGCTGCTTAGGACATCTCTTCCCCATAGGTTTACCAGTATCGTGTCTAAAACATAAGGCCATTTGTCTGGTCCTCCCACAATTAAAACACCACTCGAGAATGGCGTCTCTGGGACTGGGGCTGAGGAACCTGCTTTAAAGCCATGGCAATCGTAAAACCTTGTAATTGGTGGGGCCAACGTCTGCCTGAAGGTGAATCAATTCTGAGATGCTCCTTTTTTTCCGATGAGGTCGGAGGATGTCCTGGCAAACTTCACTGGTGTTCTCAAACGCTAGCTGTTTAACTAGGAGTTCAGAAGCGTTTGAATCCTGATTGATCTGTTAGCTGCCTGGGGGAGGCGCACTTTGAAATTGGAGAATAGTTCTTCTGGGCCCTGCTTATCTTATTGCGAGCTAGACTAGTTTGATCTCGGGAAGAAATTTGCAGCCAAGCTTTTTTGGCCCATGCAGTAATCTAATCTTAAACTGCTAAATCATAGTCTATTTGTCTCTCTAAGTCTGCAAATTCTCTAGTTCCCTTTAATATTTCTAAGGGAGCTTCAAGATTTTGTCTTCTGTTTCTCTCAGCCTGTTGGTACAGAAATCAGTCCAGTGGGACCACCAGAGGAGACAGTCACCCCCCAGAGACGAGCCTTCACCATGGAGACCCAGTCGTTTGGGGGAAGAGGCTCCTGACATAGCAAATCGAGCAAGCTTTGTACAAATGGTGGGGTAGGCCACAGGTACCGCAAGCGGTTTTTAGCTCTTAAAGGGAACTGCCACATGCACGCGGACACGCTGGTTCTGCTCGTTAATCTGTTCAAAAACTGGAAGAAGCTGAAAACATGTAATGTCTTCCCCCACTTCCTGAGCTCTTCTAAGGCCACATTGTAATGGCGACTGCCAGTTCAGAGCAATGACTGAACCGTTCTCCTGGAGGCAAGCGGTGGAATTCAGATGGTGGGTGCTGGCCCA